TCCAACCAGCAACTCTCATCCAACTTGAACGCAGCGATGGCTTCAATAATGCACCCGGTGGCCCTTGGAGGAAGGCCCCAACTTCATGATCGGCACCAACGTGGCCGCGCCAAACTTCAAGACCCTCTGTCTATGACACATGGGGTCCCCATTAAGCAAGCAAGCACACCGCTCAATCAAACAGCATGAATCCAAACATGCGCACACTGACATACTACTTGATCCACTGGCATGGAAGCTCTTTGGCACTTGGTACCGACTCTCAACATAACTTTGATAGCTTCCTTGCAAGCGTGATATGTGTTGCATGTACTTTTCTATTTCAGGTAAGCCCCCTCCCTCCAGGACAAGCCTTCCCCGCCGCCGACCTTTCCCGCGGTTGTGTCGCCCAATCCGTGGTGAAACCAAATCGATGACGGGGTGGGAAGGCGATCGCGATTCAGCCATTGGCTCTGCAATGGCGTCCTCCAGTAGCGAGGTTGGAATACGGGTACCAACTTTTTTTCTGTAGTCTATCGAGTCTAATTTAGTAGGGGAACCCTCCCCCAAAAAAGGGGTGAGAAAGGGCACCTAGATGGGGGACCTAGCTGCAGTGGCTTCCCTTGTCCTTTTCATAAAACGAGTAGAAACAAAAACAACTCGGGCCCCTTGAACATTCCGGCTGCCGGGTTCGGCAATCTGCTTTGGGCTGTCCAGGGCTGAGACTATTCCAAATGTCACCCGGGGCCCCGTTGAAGTGTAAGATTCCTCGTGCAGGACCCAAACCTGGATTGAAAATGGCAAAAGAACTCCGTCTTGGTCTGGGAAACAAGTTCTGTATGAGAAACCAAGGTGAGCCACCTACACCCACCAAATCTTCGGAAGCGTCTGTCCGTAATACACATCTCTACCAGTTGGCCATGGCTGGCGCCGCCTTTTGCCACCCTGTTCTGCAAGCCTTGACGTCGGCCAATGGGCTTGCAGGACGTCCTGTCACAGGACCCTGGGACCTGAGGTTTGTCTGTTCCTCGCGCTGTAAAATCCAACTGGGTTGCTCCGACGGAAGGGTTGAACATGGTTCCCCGGTGAACATTTTAGAGGCGAAAGGAGCAACCCAGTATCTAGGACTTGGCTGAAGGAAGAACCATGTTGCGCGTCTACACAGGTAATTGCAGCTAAAAACGCAACTGTCTACGTGAATTGTGGCCCTGACCCCACCCCCAAACAAAAAAACACGTCTCAGAGACTAATACCACAAGTGTACAGTAGTTTGGTGAGTATGAACAATGTTCAAGCCTTTTTACAAGAGCAATCAAGTTAAAAGGTCACAGCAAAACCTTGTGTTGAAGAAGCGTGCCCGCTCTTTTTGCCGCAACTTGCTGTTGGTTAGGGCTGTCCCTTACTGTATTACTGTCATGCGCGAACCCAGGTTTCGATTGCTTGAACAATGAATCCCCACCCCCCGAAAGTGAAATTGGGGGTGGGGGAGGGGTGGAAAACCCAGCTTTGAGTCGAGGATTTCTCTCCCAGGTAGATAGAAAGACGGACAGACAGACAGACAGACAGACAGACAGACAGACAGACAGAGACAGACCGGATACTACAATGCAACCTAACCCAATTTAACTAACACAAAACTCTACTGTAGCAAAATGTAAAACAATACGTAGCATATCTAAAAATGAGGCGAGACAAGATGAGATGGATGGTTGGAAGGAAGGAAGGAAGAAAGGAAGGAAGGAAAGAAGGAAGGAAGGATGGATGGATGGATGGATGGATGGATGGATGCTGGGATGGATGGACGGATGGACGGACTCATGGATGGATGGATTAATCGACAGGTTAGTTCTGCATGCACAACATGCATACTTGACATTGAATGGTAGGTGTTGCTCTTTGACCGCTACTCGGATGATCACAAAATGACTGGCTTTTCTGGTTCTTCCACTTCTCGCATGTCGGATGTTTTCCGACTCGGCACTGTTTCATTCCCCGCATTCAGCCCGCACTTCGTAGCCACGAATAAATTTGCGAAATTGGGGAATCAAGCGCATGCCCGCATCCAAAAGGGTTGCTCACAAGGCCCCGGAATTACGTTGTAAATAAAACATAACGAAACCAAAGGAAATCACTCCTCAAATTTGTTTCTTTTCCACTTGTGGGCCACGGAGCAACCCTCCAAGAAAGGGTGCCAGGGATTCCCCGAGCCACCCTGAGAGTTCCACCACAGACTGGCGAAGGCAACCGTATTCTAAAAGTCGGACACTGTGCGATGCCTGGACCCCCCCGCGTGGCTTTCGACTCAGAAATATGGGTCTCAATACTTGGTTGCTCTTGACCCCCCTGCAAAAAGTTTATCTTTTTTTGGGGTTTAGCGGAAAACACCTTTATTTCCCAAAAAGTTAAAGCCTAAAGATCCAACCCAACAGCAGTCAAGAATGTAGCCCAATGGGCTTGATGCTTTTGCCATGGCCTAAACCGGCGTAGCCCATGTGCCCCCGCGGGTGGGCCCTGGTGTCATGCGCAGCAAAAGAATCTGCGTCGCGTGCGAAGACGATTCCGTAGGCGGGCCTTGGAGCTTCGGAACCATGCGCTCGATGCCACACGGACACCAAGATCTGGCACGGGTCAAGCCACGGGAAAAAGGCGACTTGGATCTAAAAGAGAGACTGGAGAGTTTAGGCTCACGCTCAGATCCTGACTTGCGCAATACTCATTGAACACCATGCAAGGTGTGATTAAAATATATATATATATACATATATAATATATATATATATAGTTGTACGTACTGCACTCGATTCAACCCCTTGAGAAAACCTTGCAGGGCAGAAGCTGCCTGAGAGTCTTGCGAGTGATCACTGATATTATTGATGTTCCTTTGAACACATCCGAAAACAAAGGAAACTGCCTAGGACCCGTCCCGCCAACTCGGCGCCAGGCGCATGATCTCCGAGCTTGGCAGAGGAGTCAGGCAAAGAAACCTGAGGGATTGTGAAAACCGGGTATAACCTGTTGATTCGGCCATAGACCTCCACCCAGGCTGAACTTTCCTGTGACCCGAGAAAAACAAGATGTGCATTCGCTTCCTGCTTTGAGGGTAGAAGTATTGGAGGCAAAGCGGGGGGCAAAACGTATTGGTTCCCCTTTGAATGGAGACAAACAGGGGGTCTCGAGTCTTGAAAAAGACAGGTTCGTAGCCTATTACCTGCTTGAGCCGCACCTAGATCCAAAGCTCCGAGTCAGCCAAATACACAACAACTCACCATTCGCGCTCGGTTCAGGCCTTTTTACATCCACCCTCTCTCCCAGGTTGCCATGGCACCCAGGGACCCGGTCCTTCCAAGAGGAACCTGATCTTCCAGGTGCCCTTCCACAGGTGCCATGTTAGTGGGAGTGTCGTTCATGGCTAGGTCCTCAGAGGTTAGAATAAGGGTACCAACCTCTTTCGGTAGTCTATGTTGGGCGGGGAAGCGAATCTCCCAACCAAGAAAGGGGTGAGAAGGGGCACCTAGCTGGGGGACCTAGATGGGCACGAGCCTGGACCTGAGCAGAAGCCCAATGGCACGGTAGACGGCTTTCTTTTTCATCAGCCCATATACAAGCGACGAATTGGCAAGGGCCCCGTTTCCTGCAGCAGAACGGCAGTCTCGAAAGGCCCGTGCGGACGCAACATCGCTGGTGTCAACATCGCTGATGGCGATAGAAGCAAGCGCACAGCAGTGTAAATGTCAACCCGAGCGAGCAGGCAATGCAAAGCGGGGCAAAAAAGCGATCGAAGCACCCTCGGAGCTGTCAGTCTCTTGCAAATAAGTTTGGAAAAGGCCCTTTTGCTGATGCCCTGGTCAAAGGTTTGACAATGGCACCAAGAAGCGTCACACCATGCAAGCTATGTATGTTGGTGCGAACTTGGGCAGCCCGTATTGCCAGCAGCCTGTTCTTCACGGATAGAGCTCAGTGTTCAATGACCTCAAAAGGCTTGCACTTCTCGTGTTGTGTACGACGTGCTGCAATTGTTCATGCTGAAATCCATGTCGCGCCAGCGGACTGGTCTTTGCCACCATATGCGTCGGCATGGCAATTGTCAACTTCGGACAAATCCGGAGGACCATACGAATCAGAGGTGGTTCCCCAATAAAAATATAACAAGTGCACTTGTGGCGTTTCCTTCTTCACAGCTGCATTCCTTTGAGTAGCAGCCGCCGGCAAAATGTACGGCTCCCGTCCTGACGGGGCCGAACTTGGCCGAACGGCCGAACCCCGCCGAACCCCCTCAGCCTCCGGAATCGCTCTCCCCGTCTGAGCTGCGTGGAGAGGAAATGGAAAAGACCTGGCTGGTGTTGCCGAAATCCCGTCAGGGTCCATAGCTTCCATTGAGGAAAGGACACCTGCCTGGCATCTATGAAGTGACTTTTTGGGAACTCCTCTGGACATCGTTGTGGAATTTGTGCGCACATCAAAACTTCAAGCCGTATCCGATGACTGACCAACCCCGAGATTCTGTGGTTGACTATAAAGGATCCACAGAGCCAAAGCCCGATTCATCCCTCAGCACATTTTTTACGCCCCTGCGGAATTCCTACAAACCATGACTGGCTAGCGTAGTCACTGCAGCCATCACCTTGGGGTGATGCCACAACTACAACTGGTTCCCTGGCCTTCCTAAACCAGCATGGTCGGAATTGCCTGAGTCACGACCTGAAAGTGGATGCATCTGTCAGATCTGAGAAGGAATTGATGGATGCCACTCAGCTGGTATCCGCCTGTGGCGCCGACGCAAACTAGCAAACAAACGGACAAAGCTAGTCTGAGTCAAGTAGAATATGGGCGGCAACCTGCTAGGTCTTTCAAGGGTCGTGGCAAGTATGCCGCCAATGAAACTATGCCCTTCAACCAGTGGACAAAGTTGCTTTCAGATGCACAAATGACTCAGCAAGCTCAAAACAGGATTGCTGCCACTCGTCAATTGTTTTACTAGTAAGCTGACAAATTTGAGGATGAACTTAGTTCAACCCCTTGCTCAAGCTTATTGCAACAGTGCCTGGTAGGCTCTAGCGTAAGCAAAAGAAAAGACGCCCCTGCAGTGCGCATACCAAAGAGAGCAACCGCAGCCCGTTTCTTCGACATGAAAACCCGCCAGCATGGAAAGGGTCCCCTTCTCGCTTCCGTGCTGGATGGCCAACAAAAAGAAGCAACACTTTTTGCAGCACTAAAAATACGTCTTCCCACTTAGTAATGTTGACCCAGGATTAATGAACCCGTCCCATTATTAGCGGGGTGTTCCCTCCAAAAGTGGTCTGAATCCAACCACTGAAAGGAATTGGGCACCCCCCTATGAATCAACCAGGGGTGTATTCATCGGGGGTTAACAAATTACATACTGATGGCCGAAAAGTCTGCACCTAAGAACCCCTGGTTTCTGAAATTTGATTCCCCAAATACCAAGGTCCGCGTCATGGGTTTTTCCTGGTTTCACTTCATGGTCCGCGAGAAATTTCTGGATTTCGGGGGTTGCAAAGTCCGAAAAACGGCACTCCGGAAGTGCGCAGCTTGTGCACTTCCGCGATAAAATCGGGACCTTCCCATTGGCCCGGCCTGTGGAGAGGAGGTCTCTGGTGACCTCAGGGGCAAATTCGATCGATTCATGGAGGGCATCTGTCTGTCATCTCTGGTGAGGGCAGGCTACGTCTGCCTTTCTTCGGCTTTTAGAACTCATCTTAGGGGTTGCCCCAAGTTCACTCAGTACGTGTTCACGTCTGTGAAGCGCCTCCAAGCCTGGAACTCTTGAGCTGGTTGCCAGCTTTGATGCATAGCAGTGACAATGCGTGGGGTGAAAGTGTGAGATGAAGGTGGCAACAAATGGATTCCAGGCTTGCACATAGAACATTGCGCAAATGATGAACAGGTTATCCAAGAAAGGGGACCCCTTTTGGTGGCTGTCAAGAAGGAAACTCAATGGGAAACAAACCGGGTGGCTGGTGACCAACTTTGAGATACGAAATAATATAGGGGGGGTCCTCATGATATAAGGGAGCCGCTTCGGATGGTTTGTAAGAACAAACTAAATCAAACAAATACTTGTATACATGTATGTAATTCAATTTTATATAGATGCACAAAGCAAGCAAATGCGTAAAGCTCATGTACTTCAAGACACATCAATGTCATCATTGCCAAGTCACAACGTGATGGCATGACGACCTTCACATGGACCCGCAAGCCCTCCCTCACATATAAGCGTCATCCAGCCCCATGACTATGCAGCATGGATGATCTGATGCTAAGCCAAAGGCGCAGTCCCCGCAAGCGCTTGTTCAAGCAGTGTCATATAACATGTGAACGAGCAATACACAGCGTTTTTGGCGTTGGGGGCGGGCAAAGCAACACTAGGTCCTCCAGTAGAGAGGTTAGAATAAGGGTACCGGTACCAACTTGTGTTTCTGTAGTCAATTTTAGTAGGGTCCCGAACCCTCCCTGCAAAAAGTTGGGGAGAAAGGGCACTGGGGGACCTCGAACATCGACACTTTCCAACGTCGCGAATCGAATTGCGTCGAGTCGAATTTCGAATTGATTTCGTCCCAGCGGCAGAGGCAGCTCGAGGGGTACAGGGCGGATGGGCTCTAGGTCCTGAGGAGAATCTTCCATTTGAGTCGCAATCAAAACCGATCGGTACTAAAATGGTCGTAATCCCAGAACCATGTACAGGATTAAGAAGGCGGATATCCGCAGCTATTTATGGTTGGGATCGTCCCTTACTAACCTTCATCTACCCAGGTTTTGATTGTGGCTCATTGGCGCTTTCGCCCCCTGAATAAAAATAAGCATATTCCCAGTAGTGATAGATTCCCTTTAGCCCAAGAAGGGACAATTAGCAATACTCTTAAGCAAATGTAAGTAAAGGGATTCAAGCGGCCTGTCTTTTGGAGTTTCTGCCCCCTTTCTTGTGAATCTCAAAGGCCGACCAAAAGAAAAACCCGCCATGTTGGGGAGGTCAGATTCAAAAAACCGACACACACACACACACACACACACATATGAGGGAATCAAGGGATTCCCAGTTGCAACCAGTGTGGTAGAAAGAAGAACTACATCTTGTTGGGATTGACAACTTTTTCGGGGGAACCCACTACGAAGAAGGGCAAAGGGGCGCACCTGGGCCCTGATTCGTTCCTTCAGTACGCTTCGATGCCTTGAGCACCAAGACCCGCATGGCTCAAGCGCAGCTCTGACTGAAGGATCGGCTAGATACTCTACTCTGCATGATCATTATGGCCCCGTTTTACTCTACCAGGCTCAAAACGTCAACATCTTGTGTCACTCTGATTGAGTATGACCCGTTTTCAGGTACGAACACCAGACCGCAGCCTCACGTTGCCACAGGGGACCGCACCCCCTTTCAATTGACTGCTGAATGGAAGCAACTTGGGGTTCCCCGACACACTCTGCCTTTGACGGGTGAACATGGCCGACCGCGCAGAGCGTCTGGCACTCCGCGATCCAATGTGGACCTCTTTGTGCCAGGCAGTTTCCTGCATAGACAAGTCAACATCACTTGGTTGAGCAAAAAAAACATGTTTTAGCAGTTCAGTGCTTGGATTTCAACACTAAGCCGCCATAAGCCCCAAAAAAAAAACATGATCAGTTCCATTCGTGCAGCATCCCGGTCCTTCTCCCAAAGCTCCGGATCAGGATCGAAGAGGTCGCGCGAGCGCAGCCTGGACGCGAAACAAAGATCCGGATTGCTCGTCCCAAAAAACCCGCTGGGTCCCTTCATTTTTTTCTGGGCCCTTTCCTAAAACTGGCGGTCCGTTCTGGGGTCCCTTCTGAGTGTTTCTGCTCATTCTTTAATGTTGGCGCCCTTCAGCAGACAGAACCCAGCTTGACGCAATCCACTCGGCATCCAAACTGTCGGTTCAGGTGAGGTTGCTTGGCATGAGGTTTTGTTTCGCGCGACCACGACCTACAGTACACACACCAGCAGAGGGTCAGGCTAAACAAAAACCACCCATATTGAAGGGTCACAAGATGTCAATAGTGAATCCCGCAAAGCAAAAAGTGAAGAGATGTGACTTGGCTTATCTTAACCCATGGTATTTTGGGCTCAACATGTCGGCCCCTTGACAACCAGAAGTTCTACCCCAGCCCTGCAAAACCAACTAAGGCCACCATGGGCCTTGAAAATCCAAATCGAAGTTTGATGAACCCTCCAGACGTCATTTGGGGTCACCCATCCCAGCGCTCCGACCATTTGACTAATGTTGACCCGCGATTAATAAACCCCTGTTTATTCATGTGGGGGTGTTCCCCTCCAAAAGTAAAACATGAAACAAACTGAACTAAAACCAGAAACAACCCCATATTCATAAACAGGAGTCTAGTCATCCGGGGTCAACATACTCGGTTTTGCAACCTGTGTCTTCAAGGATGCTTTAACCGCAGGACGAGTGTGCAGAATCATCCAGAGTATCCTTTGCTTAAGTACCTTGGACAAAAAACAAGTCCAGCAGTAACAGATTCCCTTTAAAACCAACATATGCTTTACACGATTGGAAGTTAAGTAGAAACAGTGCTCCGAAAACTGGGCGGTTCGTTGGGGTCAATAGGGCCCCCTACCAGAAAGGTTCGCAGAGCCTTCGATTCAAACCCTTCGAAATAGGTTCTACGAACCCTTCGTGGGGGTCCTTGAAATTCGTCGCCTGATGCGCTCAAAGACGGGAGATCCCACACTGCAAGATATTTGCGATACCCTCACTCGCCCGAAGGACCTGAAATCCAAGGCTGATCTATTGATTTTGATGTGGGCCGAATTAGTGAAATTGGCTAGCAAAATGGCAAAGAGCAAGTAAGTATCAACCTCAAACGTTAGTTGAATACAGGCCTTACCTCCTATTTTGTTGAGCCCCCCATTTTGGGGTGGATTCCTTTTGGTTTCCCTTGAAACAATCCCAAGAACCAGTGCCCTGAAAACAAGAATCGGTGACCGGACTGCAACCGGCTCTGCTTCTCACCGAGGCCAAGGCTTTGATTCTAACGCCTCTGCCCAGGACTTCTGACGTTCCCAATGCCACGTCAAGGTCTGGATAGCGCGAGTCCAGCTGGCCTGGCAAGAGGACCAACGGGTGAGCTCCGAATGAAGCTTCTACCCTCATGGAAGCTCCAAGGCAATAGAGCCAAGTCTCGCACTCCAATGTTGCTTGACTGCAGGAATCATGGCCCTACATTAGAAGACACTTACATTCTATTTCTCTGTTCAGTTGGAACATCGAAGAACTCCAATCATGGCAAGCTCATGCTGCTTTCTTGATTCTCGGCGGTGCACATATCGCAGAACAAGTTGGCACCGAAGCCATACCGACGGCCATCGGATTCAATTGCATCGTCGAGTGCATCCAAATACTGGTACATTGAGATGCCGAGGAACAAACCGCAGGTGACACCAAAACTCCCTGGCTCGCAACGGATTAAGTGCTCGGCCCGTACACACACACAACCCGAAAGAGGACTTTTTTCGCTGGCTTGCTGTTCCTTTGGTTACCCTTGACAACAGCCAAAAGGGTAGCCTCAAACACGACCCATGTCCTATCGACATCTATGATAAATCATTGGAGTCCAAAAGAATTGGGTCCTCTGATGACAGTGACTCACTGAATATTGGGATATATTGGGTAAACATGGACAAACTCTCTCCACTGATATGCATACGCTTCTGAGTTGCAAGCCATCAACGATGGAACAAAACATCACCAAAGCATTCAAACAACATCTCTGCGGGTTAATCTAAAAATATGTATCCGCCAACATTGCTCGGCGTGTCGGACACCTAAGAGAGGATAGAGGATAACCCCCCTAACCCCCCCCCGCCCGACGTCTGGTACGTGGGGTACAGGGGGGTCCCCCACGTACCGCGCGGCAATTTGATGACGTTCGGTGTCGCAAAACAGGGGCCCCAGGCTCGATTCCCCTGCCGGCTTTGCTGGTTTGGGTTTCCTGCCTCCTTTTGCCGAAAATCTGGAAAAACTCCGTGTTCTTGGACGTCCTCCTTGCAAAAACACTGGAAAACCGTGTTTTTGCGGGAAATACTGGGGAGCAAAGGGGAAATGCAAGGAAGTGCAAGGAAATGAGGGGAGGCAATAGGAAATCGACATAACAGGAAAGCAACGGGAAATGAAAGGGAAACAAAGGGAACTGAAAGGGACATGAAAGGGACAGAAATGAAAACAAGGGGAGTGCAAAAAAAATGAAAGGGAAACAAAGCACAAGGAAACCAATCGGCACGACGGGAGATGTAGGGAAATGACTCGCAACGAAAGAACGGGACATACATGGAAAATGAAGCGGACATACCGAGAAAATGTCAGGGACATGAAGGGGGAGTTGAAAGGAATGGAAGGGACATGACCAGGACATCATGGGAAACGTGAAAAGGACATGAAGGGGAAATCAGGACAAAAGCAAGTAGTGAGATGACAGTTCAGGTCATGAAGGGGCAGTGCCCGGACATCGAGGCAACTCAGGGGGGACTTGACGCTGCAATGAGAGAGAGAGAGAGACAGAGAGAGAGAGCGGGAGAGAGAGAGAGAGGGAGAGAGAGAGAGAGAGAGACACGGAGAGCGAGAAAGAGAGAGAGAGAGAGGGAGAGACAGAGACAGAGCCAGAGTCAGAGAACGAGACAGAAAAAGAGACAGACAGAGAGAGAGAGAGAGAGAAAGAGAAAGAGAGAGAGAGAGAGAGAGAGAGACAGAGAAAGAGAGACACAGAAAGACAGAGAGAGAGAGAGACAGAGAGAAAGGAAAGAGAGAGAGCGAGAGAGATAGACTAGGTCCTCCAGTAGACAGAATTCGGGCACCCTTTTTCTGTAGAGGGGCGTGGACAGGAAGGAGACAGGGAGACAGAAAGAGACAGAGACAGAGAGAGAGAGAGAGAGACAGAGAGAGAGAGAGATAGAGAAAGACAGAGAGAGGGAGATTGAGGAGACAGAGGCTTGGGGGGATGGGGAGGATGGGGAGCCGAGGGAGGGAGAGAGGACGACAGAACACACGAGGGGAGAGAGGAAGAAGGAGAAAAGGGAGCGGACAATGTCGGCGGACTGAGCCGGAGTCTCTAAATAAATAAATAAATATATATATATATATATATATATTCCCGGCCCTTAAATGACCATCGGTAACTTTGCCCATTTAGTGGCAAATATCATCTTGTCGTGGTTTCCCTTCTGGTCATCCCCTGTTTCACGCACGCCGCTTCACGGATCCGACGAGCCTTGTGCAGCTGGCTGTCACGTCGGAGCTGGCGGTTTGCCTTGCCTCAGTGAGCCGACGAAAGCCGTCCGCCAAAACGTGGGCTGTTGGGTTTGGACTCAAATGGCTGTGGTTGTCAAAAATAGGCTAACCCCAAAACGGCTTGCCCTGGTAAATGGAAACATGGACTAAAACCTGCGGTCCATATCCTGGTGGTTTAATTTTGACCCACACCCAAATTGCTTCCAAAGAATCCAACATCGAACAGGAGCCAATGAATAAGAAATTTGGCAAAATGATCAATCCATTGACCGATCGTGCTGCGAATCAAACCAACATTGAACTTCAACATGACCCAACCGCCCCATCATGGAGCAATGCAGCCCCAACAAACAGCCCCAAAACGCCCAAAGGCCTCTCACCCCATTTTCCGAACCAGGCTAAAGGATAAAGATCCAACCCAATATTATTCAAGTAGCCAGCGCCGCATATTCTGGGCGCTTTGATTTCCCTTGCCCTCCGCGAGATCTGAACTCCGAGCGGCGCAGCTCTGCGATTTTCAGGTGCTCGTCTTTGGCGCCCGCCGGCGCGGACACCCACTCGCGCAACTGCGCTAGCTCCTCCTCGTGACTCGCTGGTGCGAGAAGGGAGTTGAATGAACCCAGGCTTGGGTGCTTAGGAAACCACCAGCTGCATGGTTTATCAGGGTAAAAATTCATTTGTCATTCGCTGAGTGCCAGCATGGGAGCGTCTCAACGGTGCCAGGTGTCTCAAAAGCTCGCGCCGGCGCAAGGCCAATTTGGCCATGGGTCAAAAGCCAAATCGTACCCCAGTGAACATCCCAATCCAACCACTAAAATAGGTTCTAAAATGGATGGTGAATTCACCTACCCCAAAATGGGATCCCAAAACGGTTTTGACAACCACTGCCATTTCCTCTGCAAAACCCACAAGTTTCTCTGCAAATCTTGCACGCTGTGAGGCACTCCAGGGCAAGCCGCAACTCCACAAGTCCCCAGTACCCCGTGTCAGTGCAGAAGTTTCCCGCGAGGCCTACACAGCCCGGCTAAAGGAAAGCTCTCTGGCCCAGAATGCGGACTCCAAAGCCTTAGGAATCTCCGCAAATGTCCAGCGATTCGTTGCACCTCTGCTTAAAATTTAGGAACACAATGACAGAACCCACATAGCGTAAAGCAGGTCAAAGATTTGCACCCCTTGACCTAGGCTGCAAAGGCGGCTTAAGCCATCCCCCACACCGTCACCACCTCCAACAGCACCTGCCCCAGCGCCCCAGCACAGCACCTGCCAGCACCCAGCCGTGAATCTCGCAAACATGCGCCCACGCCCCGCGCGAACACCGCACCTCCAACAGCACCTGCGCCAACGCCCCAACTCTGCACTCAATCTCTGAAATCACTTTCCCTTCTGTCTTAGAAGTTAGAACCCCCAGCTGGGGAACGATATGAGTTCACCCACCCCCTGGTGTCAAAGTTGGTACAAAGCGCGAGCTCATGGGCCCATGCACAAACCAGGAATTTCAGCTATCTGGGGACAAACGGATTTCACCAACCGCAAACCCTGGACAAACATCTTGCTGAGGCTCTGCAAACCAAATGCCACGGGGCGTCCTTGTCGGCCTCGGTCAGCGCGGAAACCTTCGCCTCCCTCGTCGACAAGCCCAGCTCTTGCAGCATCATCAACTGGCGAAACATGATGTCTGCAAACCAACCAAAGCCTCGCGCTTTTTATGGGGGAAGGGGCCAAACGGAAGCCGCCTCTTTCGAAAATGTATGCGAAAAGGGGCCCCTACAGTAATTTTGACAAGCTTTCAGTTCAAGTGGTGGCATGCATGTGTGTGTGTGTGTCTTTGCATGCCAACGTACACGCCGCACAGTTACAGGCTAAAACAAACCTAGGTATGCATGAAACAAGGTTTAGCCGTTAACATGTCAGCTGCAATGGCAAACATGTCAGTGCATGTGTGTGTGGGTGTGCGTGCGTGTGCGGGTGTAGGTGTGCGTGTGCGTGTGCGTGTGCGTGTTCGTGCGTGCGTGCGTGCATGCGTGTGTGCGTGCGTGCGTGCGTGCGTGCGTGTGTGGGTGTGTGTGTGTGTGTCTGGGTTGTTAGTGTAGGTGTATATCAAATTAGGGGGACCCAACAATGGTCGTGTTCAAGTAGGATTGCCTTCGATCAATATATTTGAGTACATATTAGTTGTGTGGGTGTGTGCGAACATATGGTCAATCAACCGCGCACACACACACAAACCCACAACCACACAAACACACCAGCAAGCGCGCACACAAACACATACACTCACACGTACGCAGCCCCCCCCCCCCGCCCAACACGTCTGCCTGTCCGCGCGCCTCGCGTACCCACACGCACGCGCACGCACACTCACACACACACACATGCACACACACACACACAAACACAAACACACACACACACACAGACACGCACACACACACACACACAGAGACACACACAAACGCACACACAAACACACACACACACAAACACACTCACACACACAGACACACACACACAGACACACACACACGCACACAAACGCACACACACCCACACACACACACACACACACGCACGCACGCACGCACACACACACACACACAAACATACACACAAACACTCACACACACACATGCACACACGCACACACATAAACATACACACACACAGACACACGCACACGCACACGCACACGCACATGCACACGCACGCAAACACACACACACACACACACACACACACACACACACACACACACACACACACACACACACACACACACACACACACACACACACACACACACACACACACACACACACACACACACACACACACACACACACACACACACACACACACACACACACACACACACACACACACACACACACACACACACACACACACACACACACACACACACACACACACACACACACACACACACACACACACACACACACACACACACACACACACTCATCGCACGCACGCACGCACGCACGCACGCACGCACGCACGCACGCACGCACGCACGCACGCACGCACCCACACACACACACACCAACGCACGCACGCACGCACGCACGCACGCCCGCCAGCACACACGCACGCACGCACGCACGCACGCACGCACGCACATGCACACACACACACACATACACACACACAAACACACACACACACAAACAAACACACAAACACAAACATGCAAACTCACACACAGAAACCCAGAAACTCAGAAACACACAAACACACAAACACACACACACTGTTTACCATCCACTTCCACAGGCAGCAAATCCATTGGAAGGCGCGCCTTTTCGCGGCCAAAATGAGAATTGGGGCGTTGAGCCTGCACTTTACCCCAAGGGCAAAGCAGCCCATGCGAAATCAGCATAGACCATGACTTCAAATTACATCCCCTTAGTATTGCCGCAAATCATCCGCGCTAAATACGTCATTGCGTTTTGTGGTGATATAAGTGCGCTTCCTAGTTGGAACTTGGTGAGTGTGGCCCATGTTACCTCCTTTATTGAATAAAAGTAACCTTGACCATTGCTCAAATGCATGTGTTCTTCTTCTTCTTCTTCTTTTCTTTTTAATGAAAGCACAAACAAACTGGAACCCTTAGACTCTTTTCTTTCAACTGGAACTCTTAGAGTTGGATATGATATCAAGTGGTGTGTGAACCCCTGGATCGCTTGCATTCCTGCAAATTCATGCAGCGCAAAGAGCCGCTTCTGACAAATAGATTGGATCAAGGTCTTGGGTTTCTCTTGGGGCTGTGGGTGAAATGGCCATGGGGCATTTCCTATGGCTCCATTTTGAGGTGGATAAACATCCATTTGGCACCTGTTGGGCAAGGGGTACAGGGTTTTGACCCACAGCCAAATGAAAACGACCACGAATCTGTGATATGTTTCAAAACCGGCTCCTAACACCCAAGACGTTAAACCCCCCATGGTTTCTGGGCGGAGACTCCCAAAAACAGAAGTGGTTAGATAAACCCCGAGTGATCCCGCGACCCTGCTCAAAATAGGGGACCTTCCAAATCAGTGTTTTCCCGTTCCTCCGGGATCCGTTAACAGGAACACATGGCTTGGTATCACAGCAAATAAATCAACTTCCAACCACAAAAGGGAGCAGGCTATAATGTCATCCCTGGGCTCGAAACCCTTCCCCCAACTCCCATGATGAAAAGGGTGGAGATCAGGGTTGAGCCAACCCCTCGAACATGCTCCTTTGTTCCTTTCAAGGCGGACTGGGGTGGTTCTTTGAATGAAGTTTGCCCAACCCTGCATACAAAACGAAAGGAAACCCACTTCAATCAGGCCTGACAGGTGACTTAAACCACCAGGGGGTCTATCATAGGGATCTCCGTTACAACTCAACCCCCCACCCTTTTCCTGCAGAAAATCGCGTGGGTTTTTTGTCCCCGCCTCCTGGTGAGCTAAGAAGTTCTGCTGCAGCTCGGCATACTTCGATTTCTGCAGGATGAGCTGCTCCTGCAGATCGTCCACCTGGCAAACGGGGGTGCCCAAGGGTGCTGGACAAAATCAATCGCTGCTGCAATACTCACTCCCCACTCCCACTAAAATTGGTCTTCCCCAACAAACATAAAGCCCAGGTACTGGGGAATGCTTTTTGAATTTACTTTGGGAACATTGGAGACATGTTGGGGCTATTCAGCTGTTCCAAGTTTAGACCGTTTCCAACATCGAAAGTTGAGGGAAGGGAGGGGGAGTTGGAAAACTACACTCTTCTTGCAAATGGTCCCTGTCATGATTCGTGGACACAGGGTAGTGTTTGGTCTCATGGTGGGCCATTTCTGGAAGGGAGCCTTTGAACAAGTACAGTAGCATTCACACAATTGATGTCCACCAAACATTTTGGAGGGACGAAGACATGGCCTCTAAGAATGCTGCAACGCCGGCAATCAAGCAACAGAACCAAAAGAATAAACACCATTTTGCAGGGTCCCCCTAGTTGGACACGCACTCAGCCACATGCATGCTTAGTAGAAATACTCTTAAACAACTGCGAGCCATGGAACCGGTACACATTGCCTTTTGCTTTCAAGAGAAAGCTTGAAAAGGGATCCCAACACGAAATGACACCCCATGTGCCGGCATTGGAAAATGCTGACCATGAAGTGTCCACTTTAAACTCCTGGTCACAAACCAATTCCACACACCATCTGATTGGTGAGATATGGTGGTTGATCTAAATTCCTTTGTCTCGAAACGGCCATTCTTCGCGAATAAAAAAGTTACTTTCGCGAATCTTTCGCGGATTCATCGCCGTGCTCTGGAGAATCGCAGCTTTTAAGTGCCAGCGTTGTAAGCGAAATGATGATTTCCCAACTCCAGCTGTAAAGTCGCAACCTTTCATCACAGGGGTAGTACATGACATGCGCCGGCTGGAAAGTCGCAGCTTTTCGTTCGCCATGCAGCTCCAGCTTGAAGTCGCAGCTTTCCAGTACCAAGCTAGTATAGTAACTAGATCGGCGCTCAGACTATACCTCCCCTTGCAATCGAAGCCTGCGCTTTCGCGCGGGCTTTCGCGGATCTTTCGCGGATCTTTCGCGAAACATCACCCACGTTTTCAGAGCGGAAAGCCACCGACTAACACCCACAGACACACATACACAGGCTTGGAGCACTAACCAGCCAAGCAGGGTATCAAACTGTAGCCTCACCAGGCTTAATCAGCGCAACATCAACAAAGTGTTTTAATCAGAATAGAAGGAAGGCTCAGCAGAAAAGATGAACGGTTCCACATATCATTGATTAACCAGATACAGTTATGCAAAACTTTCGCGAGAAAACAAGTTACTTTCGCAACTCCATCGCGAATCTTTCGCGGAGCTACCTCAACCAACGCCGATGGTCACCGAATACTAAACTCCTTACAAGGCCCTTTAGAACGACTCCCATATAGCAATTCACCAGCCAAACATGTGGAACCTCCCAGAAAGTTCTCTGATAACACAACATGAACACACAACAAAGCGCGCAGCGGTGCTTGTAGGATAGTAGCCTGCGACACTTCTACACGAGCCTCCTGCTGCATTTTCCTCAGAGAGTTGGCCGCAGAAATGGCAAAGGCCTGTAGGCCTCAGGGTCGGAAACCAACGTCCTTTTTGGGATGCGTCCGCAAAAAAACATGGGATCCCCAAGTGGTTGGTTTCAAGTGGTTGGTTTCAACCTGGTGTCCTGCAAAAAAACAGATCTAACATTGGTGTTCATTCCAGAAACATGGAACCTCAAGATGCTGGCGCCTATTTCGACTCCTAAAAAGATCCAACAAGGAGCTCCCCAGTTTAAACCCCCCAAGCTCCCCCCCTCTTTCTTGGGTTTGTGCTTGTCCGGGCAACCAAAAGAACACCTACCATTTCTTGCTACCTTGGCGTATAGGGCTCGGTCGCTTAAGCATACTTTGAGGCTGAACCACAAAACCCGGCGTGTGGCCATCTCGCTCAGCCGCTCGCAGGCCTACCCAACATTTGTAGCCCCATACTCCGGGAGTCTACATCCGGGGGAGCCCCCCATGACCTGTGCAAACCAACCAAACACTACAGAAAAGGTCCCTCTCATGAAAAAACCCATGGGCAAATGGATGACTGGCCCGGTACAGCCACGTATGATAAGATCGGAGACCATCAAAACTTTGTCACAGGGTTGATTTTGTTCCCATACCGCAAATTAGACATCAACCGCAGTGTCCCTTTCTTGTCGCTGGAGAAAACAACACACATCCACGACAGCTCTTCAGGCAAAGCTGCTTGCGCATCGTGAAGCAAAGCAGTGACCAAACTGTTTGGGACAAGATACTTCCCAAGCCACGGAAAAAACACGCTGGTTGGCATCGGAAGAATATGTGCTGAAGAGCGAATTTACAGAACCATGGGGTACATGCATGCCATCTCCAAGGTACACATACCTGAAATGAGCCCCTGGAAAGCCCATTGACCCCTGTTTAGGTGGTATCTCCATTACTACGTAGTAAGAAGAACCTCTCATCTTTCAACACGATTTCCATATCACATGCCACAGCCAAAATGTGCTTGACAGACCAGCTAATGAACAAGCGACAGAAACGGAACAAGTCGAGTCTCAACATGTACCTGGGCAAATCACAAAAAAACAAAACATCAACCCGGGAGTACAGAATCCGGGGTCCCCTAAGGATTGTGAAAACCAAGCCAAAGACTCATGGATCATGGACTTAGAAAGCCGTGTCCTTGGTGTGATCACAGGTCAAAGAAAAGTATGTCTTAAAGAATAGATGAGCTGAGTGGTGGTAGATGGAAGTGCTGTACAATTGGATAGAATAAGTGAGAGAGCTAAGTGGAGTGACTGTATTTGGCACATGTAGATGGTGGAGTTATATAATGTATCTCGGCATATGTCCCGAAAGGTGTTGGGCAAGAGGAATTTGTAGATGGATGCAATACCACATGCTAAGTGATGATGGGATGTGATACCAGATGGTGATGATGTGCGTACCATGAAGTTGTAGTCGATTTTCAACCACCAAAGAATGTTGAGCAGAAGGGTGTGGGGTGTGAGAAAGTAGAGCTCGAAAGGCTGGTACTGTGTCAAGATGATGCTCTCTGTGCTGAGCAAAGGCAAGCTGGAATGCCAACCATGAGATTCCCCCCAGAACGTAGAGAAGCTGGAGAAATGATGGAACTTGAAATTTGGCTTGCATGAGTTGTCGGAATGGGTGAGCTCATTTTGCGCCAGAGCTCAATTTTATGCCCACACGGGTGTGTTTCTTTACGGTAGCCTTCCGAGTTGTTGGCTTGCTGAGTCCTGGCAACTTTTGCCACAAGACTCGTCTTCAATTTGGTGACCCGGTCCAAGTTGCTCTTTTAATAACAAGAAAACCACAAGGAAACCATCTTGTTGTTGTTTTTTTGTTTTTTCGTGTTTCTTTTTCTGGGGGGGGGATGGTCTCCACCTGTTCTTGCCACATACCCAAATGGCTCTAAAAAGTCTAAGGGAAAGATACCGTGCTGGTTCTCTGCAAGAGAGAAATGGAATGACCCTTATGAACCATCAACTAGTGGGTGCCTTTTAAAGGGACCCGGGAGCAATCTGGATTCGACAATTTCCGCGACCAGTGGATGGGCACTGCTAATGACTCACTTCGCAACAGGTGGCTTCTCCTAGTACTTTGTCCGTCAAAATGAGTTTTGTCGTGTCGGGAAAATAGAAACACCTGGAGTCGACATGACCCTTTAAGAATGGGTCCATGACCCCTTTATTTTGGATAATGACCCCATTTTAAAAGGGTCATTCCAGACTCCTGGCAACCATTTTAATCAGGGTTATTGTTTCTCAAGGAGCCAAAAAGGACCCCAGGTCAACCAGAACCATTGTTCTCAAGGAGTTAAAAGGACACCAGGTCAGCGCGGGCCACTGTTTACTGCAGCCAAAAAAGCCACCAGGTCAACACAGGCCATTGTTTACTTTACCAAAACAAACAAACAGGACATCCAGTCTTCAAGGGTGATGGAGACTCCAGGTACATGATACAATGGGAGGCTTCGCATCAACTTTGGGGTTCCCGGATAGCCCCCATTTGCTGCCCAGACTCCGTTGGCTTCCTGCCTCTGCCTAAAGGCCATGGGCGTAGTTTTCTTGGAAAACCCTTTTTGGGAAGTGAAAAGGGACACCAAAAGAATATTCACGGCATGGGTGTCTTCTTTGAGGGTACCCCTTTTTGGTTTGTTTTAAAAGGAAACCAAGGGAAACCTCCAATTTAGGGGTCCCCCAGAAAGGACACACCCAAATTCCATGTCGCGCCCCTATTTTCACACGCACCCACAGACTTGCCAAGATAGCAAGTGATTTTTAGCTTGTCCCGTTTCCCCAGTGGAGGGACAGCCTTGTCGCTGGGGCTCTAACCCTTCTATCCCTCCGGAGCGATGCAACTGGAATAAGACAAGCTGGGGATCCCAGCAAAGCCAGCCGCGAGTAGCGAGTAAAACAACAACCAAAGGTCAATCCTGAAAGCTGTGGGGAAAGAGACATGGTTCAGGAAACCTATGAGTTAAACCATGAACGCCCACAAGTTCCCTAGGAATAAGAAAAGCTTGAAACCTGTGAGTAAAACTACCACAGTCTTGACACGAGTCTAATGATACCCTCCCGCCCATGAAAGGAGCTCCAAACTTGGATCATCGAGGTGGGTTCCATGTTAGTGGGCAGGTGGTTTACGGTTACTAGTGTTCATCAAATGCCTTTTCTTGTCAACTCTGGGGTGTCCACCACAATATGTCACGGTACAGAAAGGCAGGATAAACATTAACTTGTCTAAATTTAATTCAAGGACCCCCAAGAAAGAAACGTTCATCATCCGCAAGGTCGAGTCGCAAAGGCAGCGCATAGCTGTCTTCAAACAGGAATCATCCTACGCTGAGCGACCTCCCTTTGGTTTTCCTGAAGCCAACCCAAAAAAGATACCACAAAACATACCACATGCAGTGATGATAAGGATGAGACATGGGGTTGTCTCCAATTCAGGCATCTTCTGGAAACACATTCAGCAGCAACCAGCATGAACAACACCTGGTGATGTCTTTCAATTTGACATCTGCAAGAACATAAAACAAAGGACCTTTGCTTTGAGCCACGGGTTTGGTCGGTTTTGCCCTGAGGCCTTGGCAGTGCGCCGCGCAAAATGCGCTCACGGCCGGCCTTTTGGCATCTTCCCACAGAAAGTCCCGCTCTTTCTGGCTGAGCTCCTCATCCTTCTTGAGATCCTTGCTCAGTGGCCATGACTCCGGAAACGAATTGTCATCCCTCGAGGCTCCAAACTGGAGAGCCTCGTTTGGGGGGGTCCGATGCGAAACAAATGCGGGCGAGAAAAAACAACATGACATCCGAGTTCTGGCGACATGGACGAACTCATCAGCCTTGCTGGTGCGTGTGAGGGCCCTGAAGTTTTGAGACATGATGATTCAAAGTCCCACTCTCTGACAAGGCCTCCAAGGGGTCGAGTCAAAGCATGAGCTTCCAGTGGGAACAACTTCGCTCCGCAGCGAGGTCGGAACAGTGGCCTGAAATCGCGGTAGTTGGTGAACTGCTTGGGTGTCACTTGCCCAAAGCTTGACCATATCAAACTTATTTGAACGGGTGTGTCATGTTTTCGGGCACCCCCCCACCCCAAAAAGAAAGAGGTCGTCCTTGTCCTTTGGTTGTCCAAAAAAGACACCCCCCAAAAACCAAACATGGAAACAAACATATTAAAATCATGTTGGTCCGAAGGTTGGCTTTGGACTGAGTTGAAGGTGCAACTGTGCAACTGGCTCGCCGAGTCTCCGCCACCTGTTTTTCGTAGCGCTGGATCTCCTCTGCATGCTTGGCCGCCATCTGCAGATCCTGCGTGAAGTGGTCAAACACATGGGTGTTCCCAAGAATACCCAGTGATTCCATTTCCCGGCATAAGCAACCAACGGAATGAGCCTTCAAGTGCTAGAAAAATATGTTTGGTTCGTGTTTCTTTGCTAGAATGGTTACTGGCAACTGAAATCCACTGGGATACGGTAAGCTAGTTTGTGCGTGGTTTGACGGGAAACCAAAGGGAAACCTGGCCATTTTGTCTCCGAGTGGTCATGGTCATGTTGCGTATTTAAAACCCACTAACGGAGCCCACGACATTTGGTTTATGTGCCTACAAAGCATGCACGAATCTTGGCAGCGCCCAATTGACACAAGTCGTGCGTCCTTTGAAGAACCTGCTTGCATGCTGTAGATAGGCCACAAAAGGTTCCGCCGAAATCGATGCTTTTGTTGGGTTCCATGTGAACCTGCAGAGTGCCCTTTGACTGGCTCTGACAATTGGAGGTTCCGTAACCATGACTTTGGAAGTGCTCCCTAACTCAACATGGAACCCACAAGAAACGTCCTCCAACCCCCCTCCTCCAAACTCTCACTTTTGTTCAGGGTATGAGTGTTTTTTGGAAAACATGTTTTGGGTGCCGGCGCCTGAACCGCGCCATGCGTTCTTATAGGTTTTGCTGGTCAGCGGCTTTCTAGAGCCCCTTTGTTCTCAGGTTTCATTGGGATTCATGGTCAGGCGCCGGCCCCTTGGAGCGTTCGCCGATGTTGGGAAGGACTTCCGTCTAACTGCGTGCGCGCAAGAAACGCTCAGTGTCATGCACATCATAAGCACATCCGCTCGACTGCGCGCGCGCAGCAATGCTCATAGTCATGCACATGATAAGCACATCCGCTCGACTGCGTGCGCGCAGCAATGCTCATAGTCATGCATATGATAAGCAATATAAGCACATCCGCTCGACTGCGTGCGCGCAGCAATGCTCATAGTCATGCACATGATAAGCACATCCGCTCGACTGCGCGCAGCAATGCTCATAGTCATGCACATGATAAGCACATCCGCTCGACTGCGTGCGCGCAGCAATGCTCATAGTCATGCACATGATAAGCACATCCGCTCGACTGCGTGCGCGCAGCAATGCTCATAGTCATGCACATGATAAGCACGTTCTCTCAACGGCGCGCGCGCAGCAATGCTCATAGTCATGCACATGATAAGCACATCCGCTCGACTGCGCGCGCGCAGCAATGCTCATAGTCATGCACATGATAAGCACATCCGCTCGACTGCGTGCGCGCAGCAATGCTCATAGTCATGCATATGATAAGCAATATAAGCACATCCGCTCGACTGCGTGCGCGCAGCAATGCTCATAGTCATGCACATGATAAGCACATCCGCTCGACTGCGTGCGCGCAGCAATGCTCATAGTCATGCACATGATAAGCACATCCGCTCGACTGCGCGCGCGCGCAGCAATGCTCATAGTCATGCACATGATAAGCACATCCGCTCGACTGCGACTGCCCGCGCGCAGCAATGCTCATAGTCATGCACATGATAAGCACATCCGCTCGACTGCCCGCGCGCAGCAATGCTCATAGTCATGCACATGATAAGCACATCCGCTCGACAGCCCGCGCGCAGCAATGCTCATAGTCATGCACATGATAAGCACAGCCGCTCGATTGCGTGCGCGCAGCGATACTCATAGTCATGGACTTAAAAAGCACATCCACTCGACTGCGTGCGCGCAGCAATGCTCATAGTCATGCACATGATAAGCACATCCGCTCGACTGCGTGCGCGCAGAAATCCTCATAGTCATGCACATGATAAGCACATCCGCTCGACTGCGTGCGCGCAGCGATACTCATAGTCATGGACATAAAAAGCACGTCCACTCGACTGCGTGCGCGCAGCAATGCTCATAGTCATGCACATGATAAGCACATCCGCTCGACTGCGCGCGCGCAGCAATCCTCATAGTCATGCACATGATAAGCACATCCGCTCGACTGCGTGCGCGCAGCAATGCTCATAGTCATGCACATGATAAGCACATCCGCTCGACAGCCCGCGCGCAGCAATGCTCATAGTCATGCACATGATAAGCACAGCCGCTCGATTGCGTGCGCGCAGCGATACTCATAGTCATGGACATAAAAGCACATCCACTCGACTGCGTGCGCGCAGCAATGCTAATAGTCATGCACATGATAGGCACATGCGCACGACTCCGTGCGCGCACAGATGCTCATAGTCATGCACATGATAAGCACATCCGCTCGACTGCGCGCGCGCAGCAATGCTCATAGTCATGCACATGATTTGCACGTCCGCTCGACTGCGTGCGCGCAGCAATGCTCATATGTCATGCACATGATAATGCACATCACGCTGCGTGCGCGCAGCAATGCTCATAGTCATGCACATGATAAGCACATGCACTGCACTGCGTCATACTCATAGTCATGGACATCAAAAGCACATCCACTCGACTGCGTGCGCGCAGCAATGCTCATAGTCATGCACATGATAAGCACATCCGCTCGACTGCGCGCTCGCGCAGCACTGCTCATAGTCATGCACATGATAAGCACGGCCGCTCGACTGCGTGCGCGCAGCGATACTCATAGTCATGGACATCAAAAGCACATCCACTCGACTGCGTGCGCGCAGCAATGCTAATAGTCATGCACATGATAGGCAAGTGCGCACGACTCCGTGCGCGCAGCGATGCTCATAGTCATGGACACATCCGCTCGACTGCGCGCGCGCAGCAATGCTCATAGTCATGCACATGATAAGCACAGCCGCTCGACTGCGTGCGCGCAGCGATACTCATAGTCATGAACATAAAAAGCAAATCCACTCGACTGCGTGCGCGCAGCAATGCTCATAGTCATGCACATGATAAGCACATCCGCTCGACTGCGTGCGCGCAGCAATGCTCATAGTCATGCGCATGATAAGCACCTCCGCTCGACTGCGTGCGCGCAGCAATGCTCATAGTCATGCGCATGATAAGCACATCCGCTCGACTGCGTGCGCGCAGCAATGCTCATAGTCAGAAAGGCGTAGCCAGTTTTGACTTCTGCGCGCAAGAAACCTTTTGGCTGGTGACAAAAAAGGCGTCCGAAACCTTCACTTGCCGGGGAAGGAGTTTAATGACAGTGTTTTTGCCTTAAGAGCGAAAAGCACAAAACTCAAAAAAGAGAACACCGTCGTGAGGTTTTCAGTACACTCATGTGGCATCAGTTTGCGTTTCGCTGAGGCGAAATCATCATTGCTGAAAACGACGGTTCTCACATGACTGCGCAAACGCAGGGGGCGGTTCGGGCGCCGGCACCGTGTTTTTGTTTTGGAAAATACCTCTTCTTTGTAGAAGAGAGGCTTGACATCATACCCCAAAACAGGCCGGAGATTCTCAGTTGCCCAAAGGACCTGGACAAAATATGGACCCAAATAGGCAAACCAAAAGGTCAAAAGGTTGGGTTTGAACAACTGGCCATGGGGCATAACCTATGGCTCCATTTTGGGGTGGGTGAACATCCATTTGCAACCTATTTTGATGTGTCACCAGGGGCAACCGCCAAATGGAAACGACCACGCGATACGATTCAAAAAGGGTTCCTAACACCCAAGACGTTCAACCCCCCTGATTTCTGGGGTTTGAACAGCTGAGTATTTGGAATATGGGGACGAGTGGAGTAACCCCCTCCCGCCAACAACCAACTCGTCCTTTGTGGAGTCCGGCAAAGGCTCAGGCTCGGCACCTCGCGACATGACCGTCTCTGGCCGTGCCAAAGGCTTTGGTTCTGGCAGCCCGAAACGCCCAAGGACTCCTAAAGACCCAAAAGAAACAAAAACGCCAACAAACCAAGACATCTAAACCTGAACGGAACCAAGACAACCTCACAGTTACCTTAAAACATGAACAGCAGTGAAGATACCTAGAAGAAACATCTGCATGCTGATGGGGGGTCAAAGGCATTGGTCAAGGTAGTCTAACAAGGGCCATCCCATCGCAAAAGGCAGCAGTTGGCCATAGCAAAACAAGTCCAAGGGTGCAATAGATGCGCAAACATATCAACATATCACTACAAATATGTCGTCACTGCAGTCACATACCTGGCCGCGTTGGGGCAGTTACATGCATGAATGGCTTAACCTAGGCTGAGAGGAGGGTGTAGAACTTGGCCTGTCGAAAACGGCGGCACGCCCGTGACCGACACCCGCGTCAATGTGGAATCCTAGGGTTCAAGGGCGCAAGGAACCACAGAAACGAGGGAATTGATTTTCCAGGACCCTCCACTCCAGGTGCTACGTGGAAAGAAGGCAAAAAAAAAACAAAACGGGATGGCTTGGGTGTCCTGGGCAATGGATCCTGAAACGTTTGAGACGGTCCCATGGGCAATGAGAGGCCCGACTCTTTGTCCGGAGGGCTCCGATCTCTGTGGCGAGCTCCTGGACTTGCCACCGTTCCCCTGCAAACGGTGGACGACTCGCCCGAGTAGAACTGGTAAGTTGGGGGGGGAGCTTCCCTGTGACCGCCTTGAAACAGGGCCATAAATGGTGAGGTCATGTTGTTTGGCCTGTTGCGACGAACGCGCCAAAAAGCACGAATCACGTACCTCCTATCAATGCGTTTAGGCGTGGGGGGACGTTTACACAGACAAGAGCAGGTGCCTCGCCAATTCTCATGCTTACCTTAGCATCTTCCGGTTGTTGCGAATGTCAATGTGGGAATAGATGGCAAACAATTTCAAAGAAATAGGTAAACTCTTCAGGGTTGTGCTGTTTTTTCCCCAGTAATTACCGTGGCAGGGAACAAGTCCAAACCCCAACCCGCACAACCCCCCACAACCCCCCACAACCGCCCACAACCCCCCACAACCCCCCCAAAACCCCAAAACCCCAAAACCCCAAAACCCCAAAACCCCAAAACCCCAAAACCCCAAAACCCCAAAACCCCAAAACCCCAAAACCCCAACTCCCCCCCCCCCCCAAACTGCCCAAACCCCAACCACCCGCCCCCGTCCCCCCGCCCCCCACCTACGCGTTTCCCGGCCTTGGCTTTGCACCTCTGGCTTCGCCTCAGGCAGGGGGCCAAAGGCTTACCAAAACCCGAGACACAAACTCTTTGAGACGACCAGGGATCCGGATGCGTGAACAACACCTGAACATTGCAACTTGTAAATGGTGGTGTCCAACTTCATTTTGGTCTTGAACAAGCATATGTGTCAAATCATGGCAACATGGAGATCTTTTAAGGAGCCATGTGAAACTCCCACTAAAACCAGGGGCACACCCATGCACATAAACAAATCCAATGACACCGCCACACTTGTTAGAGCGCTAGGGGTTCATGAATCCTGGGTTACATTAATTGCTAATAGGGGTTCACTATACTCCTGGGTTGACCTTAACTAGGTCCTCTAGTAGAAAGGTTAGAATAAAGGTACTGTTTCTTTTTGCTGTAGTCTATTCTAGTAGGGGAACCCTCCCAACCATAAAAAGGGTGAGAAAGGGCGCTACTGGGGGACCTAGTAAAAAAACAACAAACACACCAACTGCTTGACAACCACAATATCATGTTTGTTGTTTTGTTCTACACTCCCTTTCTCCCAGTTGATTTCCTATGGGGAAGGTTCTGGCTTCCGAATTCTTCCCACCACATCCAAGCTAGCGGCCGACTCTTTTAGAAACACGCAGCGCAAGTATGCAGTACGGACGGCTGATTCCCTGAACATTGCATGCTAAAGACATCGAAACTGGCCTTTACCCCGGCGTTCTTGATAAATCCAGTTGGAACGAAACCTTTTCTTGCAATATTCAAGCGTCCAGTCCCTACACTCGCTGCCACGGGCAGCAAGAGTGCACTCAGTGCACTCGGTCGGTGCCGCGGGCAGCAAGAGCGCATTCATCCATTCGACGCCGCCAGTGGACAACAAACGATATCCTGCCTTGTCACTCAGAGGGGAGCATAGTTGATGAGACTCCACTCCAAATCATTCACTCAAAAGCTCCATGCAATACATGAAGCCTATTGGCGTTGTATGTGTAATGGGCAACACCCATTCCCTGGCGGTTCATTCCATGAGATGTGCTTTACCTCAAGGAAAAGCAACTTACCCATGGCTATAAGTTTATGAGTTCACGATATACATCTTTGTGTATATATGTATATATCCAGACCCACCAAAAATCCGTTTCCACAAATCACTGGACAATTACAGGCTTTTCCACTGAAACAAGTGTTGGTTCCACATCCCAAGCATGTGAACCACCAAGACGCTGACGGCTCTCAGGCTCTCAGGTGTGCTGCTTGTTGTCCTGATGTCCCTCGAAGAAAACAAAGTCGATCCTGGGCCAGAACTGAGCCCGCCCCAGGGGAAAACAACTTCTTCTTTGTTTAAGTCGATCCCCAGGGGAAAAAATCTGAAAACAAAAAACTGAAAACTGTTGGCGAACAGAGCAGCGTGAGGGAAACTCCTTTAAAGGGGACGAAACGTCAAACAGGGCAATTCCCAGAAGTCCAAGTGCCAAATGTTCTTCCCGGTTGGCCCCTTTGCTGGCTTCACCTTGGGTAAAACAACAAAGCAATTCAGCAGGCTATTTGGCACCCAACTAAATATTGATCTGGGCGAATTACAACATGTCACCAACCTGAAAACCAGGTGGTTGGGGGGCTATTCCCCACATACACCACCATTGACCCCTAGTCCCCCCCCCAAAAAAAAAACAACGAAATGTCGTCCCAGGGGTCCAAGTGATGTTCTTCCTCCTGTTTGGCCCCTGTGCATTGACCCCTAGTCTGGCAAGGAGTCAAGAAGGTCATCCCCAGCAAGCCCGCTTTGCGGGTGGCGCTGGCTCCCTCTGGAAAGATCACCGCAAAGGTGTCAGCGGTGGAGCAGCACTCCTTCTTGAAGCCGGCCCAGACCTTCCGGATCTGAGGCGTGTTGGGGTCATCATACCTTGGAGTCTTGGAGAAGAAAACACGGCAGATCACGTCCAAAACTGATAAACCTCAAAAGAACCCCAGTTGGCAAAATGCATTGAAACTCCTCTTATATCTTTTTAAGTTAGACAAGGCCTTCCGAAACAAACCGCCACGCAGTCAAAACAAAAAGGGGCCAAGTCAGGCAAGCGACTTCCCCCCGATCACCTCCTGCGAGTTCGGATCATGGAAGTAGAAAGGCATGTAGACCAAGCCCTTGCCGCTGCAGCAGTTGCAAGCCACACAGGCGCCCCCACAGCAGGTCTCCGGCTTCAGCAAGTACAAAGCGTCACCACCCTCATGGTACCTCAGAAAAAAAAAGGAAGAAAAACAAACTTGAGGGGAAAGCTTTTTGCCAAGGGAAAGCAATGAAAGCGCTGCCATGTCCAAAACCACTGCAGTTTGCAGGTCGGACATAATTCATCTGTTGGCTGCCCCCCACATACTATGAGCAGGAGTGAAACGCCAAAATATCTGAACATACATTTTACAAGAACAAGCTGTGGGCATGTGCAAAATTAGGGCGACATCCCCCCCGGGTCGAAAAGCCAAAAAACAGGGAACAAACTATGGCAACAAAACCAGGTACCCTCAAACAAGGGATCCGTTTGCGAATTTGTTGCAAAGGGAAATTCAAGGGCCACGGGGGCCGTTGCGCTCTTGCAGCGATGGCACGTGAACTTCGGCACGCAAAGGCACATGTCGCAATAGTACTTCGACTGGGATCCAACTGGTTGCCCTTGCGGAGTCATCGGCGTGAGGTTGGGCAAACAGCAGCAGCATGGACAGTCCTCAGCCAAATCGCATCTGTTGGCTCCACAAAAACCAAAGCACGCGAACAAACAACAAGTCGATTGAAAAACACATACAAAACTTGTAATTCACAATGCAAAAGAGTCGATTGCTCCGTTTTCGGTTTGAAGGATAAAGAAGGCTGGGCAGGTCAGGGGCTTGTCGAAGTACATGATAGGTGCCCCACCTGTACTGGAACTGTTTGCAGGCGGATTTCATACAATCGGGAATGAGAAATGGAATAGCCTATAAACCATCAAACAGGTGGTTTCCTTTAAGGCGACCGAAGCTTGGGTTCATTCCACCACATTCCCCACTACTCGCAGCAAGTCGGTGTTTTCCCCCCGGGTTGAGACGTTTTCCACGGCACCCGGCTCGCCACCAGCGGAGAGATTCATCTGGAAGTTGCGTCCGCCAGGGTTGCAGACTCGGCAACAGCAGCTCGACTCTTCCAGGGCCTTGGTTGCTGTGACCCGAGTCGGGGTGTGGGCTACGTGCAAAAGGGCTGCAAGATGACTCTGTCAACAGTAAAATATGAAATGCAGTAGAACATAGGTAACCAATGGAAGCATCCTTAAAACAAGAGCAAAATGGCTGATTGCCTACAGGATCCGCTACATGGGCTTGAATATCGGCAGAAAAGGCTATGCCAATTGGACATCAACAACATGGTGTTTTCATCAAATTACATTGTGCAACTTGACATGTTTGGGAACCCCCTTTCGGGTACCATGTTGCAGGGAAGCAAATTTGTCCTTCTCCAACTTCACCATGTTTTCTCGGTCGCTTTCTGCTCCCCTGCTAACAGTTTAACTCTCAGTGGTTTAATGGAAAACCCACTAGTTGGCAAACAGGTAAAGTCCTAACATCCAAGCAAAATGCACCAAAGTTTTGGCAGCTGGCGAAACAAAATTCCTTGGGTCAAGCGGCGTACATGATGTCTGGCACCGTCATGGCTGCCTCAGGGATGAAGATGGAGCGACACAAACAAACGGGGCCGTTGGGTTCGATGAAACCGAATGCTTCCATTTGCCCAGGAAAAAACATGTCCAGTACTGATGAATTCCTTTTAAAACCAACAAGGGGGAAAAAAGTATTAAGCAAATGGAGGGAGTGCAAAGACATTGTCCTGTGCCAATCGGAGCCCAGATATCTAAAACACACCCAGCGGGGGGATCACTATTTTTTTGGAAGCAGTGGCAACTGAAGTGGGGGGGTCAAGGGCGAAAACTGAGGGTTAGTGTAGGGGTAAGGAGTATAGATAGAGCAGGGATCCGGATGCATGAAAAACACCTGAGCATTGCAACTCGTAAATGGTGGTTTCCAACTTTATTTTGGTGTTGAAAAAGCAACATGTTTCAAATGGTAGCAAAATGGAGATATTTTAAGGAGCCCTGTAGAGGTTCAGGGGGTAAACAAAGGTTGGGGGAGTAAATAGATCCCCCTGTGGGGTTAAAACAGCCATATAGAAAACATGGTGTACCACCTTGGGTTGAGAAAAAAAAGAAGCATTAAACAAAAATGCTTTGCTTGGGCAGGGCCTAAAGAAGCGATGCGCGATGCTTGCCTCGCTCACTTGGATTCCCTGTAGCTCAGAAGAGCTGAAGGGGGCGATCTTGTACTCCGACTTGGCATCACAGCCCAAGCACTCCTGGAAGCAACCGCGCATGGTCTGCTTCACCTTGGCTCTGTCCAAACTTCCAAAGAAAAAGTTTCAGGGCCGCAAACCGCAAAACGCGAAAGGCGGCCATGGCGCCACTTGCGCTTGCTTTTTGTTGCTTTGGTCTTTCTGGAGATCCATGGCCACATTGCACCATACCATTTTCGGGGGGTCCCACGTGAGGTAACTTTTTCGGAGGCATCCCCTAACAGCCAGCCCTGTCAGACCTCCGGAACCCCCCAAGAACGGGCGGCGCCGCTCAAACAGGCCACCGGATCCGCGCAAAGAACCCCAAGCCGGCAAAAAAAGAAACAAGGAGATCGGGTTTCACTCAGTGGATTTCCATGAAAAAACAAGGGCATCCTTTTTTGGTTGCTTGAGCTTCAAGGTGAACCCAAATCCCCAGAAAGAAAGTTGACAAAAGGGCCGGAATCCACGGGCAACCTGAACCGTTCAGGTGGTTTCCCCCAATTTCTGAACCAAACAAAAACAAAAAAAACAAAAAGAAACGCGTTGGATCCTTTCAACATGTGGCCAAGAGCCCACTGTGGGGCTCGAAGAAGGACTCCAACGCGCCGCCGCTCTTCATCTCCTCTTGCTGCGGAGCCTCCATGGCCGATACGGACCTACCAGCGACTCAGCGTGTCTCAGCCCAGGTGCCTTGAACCAGACTCGGCCACTGGAAAGTCGGAGTGTCCAACATGCGCACGAGAAAAAAAAGGTGGTTGTCCCCGAAGCACTCAAGACGCGAGCTTGCAAGGCTGAGGGCTGACTAAATTGAAGGATTTTGAAGTTCAGGGCTTCGGTTCGGATGTTGCGAAAGACTAATGGCCGCCTATTTGACCGCCCCTGCACTTGCTGCAAGATCTGGAATGCAGAATCGTAAAAAATCTGGAGGTGTTCCCACCAAACACTCACAAACCCGAAACACATTTTAGGGACATCAGGCTTTGTCTCCATAGACAATTCCTAGAAAATGGTGCTTTGTCCTTTCGAAAGCGGCTCCGTAACTTCTTTGTTTTTTTGGAATCATAGATTTTGAAATCGCGCCTTGGGGGTCCATTTTGATTTTGTTTTTGAAGTCACACCTGAGGGGTCCAGGTGTTTCTGTTTTTTTTGAAATCACGCCTGGGGGGGTCCCGCTGTGTTCTTTTTAAAATCACGCCTGGGGGTTCACGCCTGGGGGTTTCGGTGTTGCTTGTTTTTCATGTTTCCTTTGTTTTTTCTCGAAATCACGCCTCGGGGTCCCGGTGCTTGTTTTGTTGCATTCATGCCTGTGGGCCGGGGCGTTCTTTTTCTTTTGAATTCACGTCTTGTGGCTCCGCCTTTTTTTTTAAAATAATCTACGCCTCTGGGCTGGTGCTTTTTCTTTTGAAGTCACGCTTGGGGGCTCCGGTGTTTGGATTTTTGAAATCACGCCTATAGGCGTGATGCAAAAAAAGACCGGGACACGGAGGCGTGAAAATCTCAGTTGCCCAAAGGACCTGGAAATCGAAGCAAAGCCTTTTGGGGTGACGAAACATGGAGCAACACCGGAAAACGAAAAAGCTCAGATGGCTGTGGGTCAAAAATGGGTATCGATCTGGTCGGTTCGCTTTGGGCAACTCAGTACCATCGCCGTCTCAAAGCTGGGCTGTTCAAAATGGAGGGTTGGCCAATCCTAATCCATAATCCCTATAGGAAAGCCACTACAAAGGGGACCCCTTGCGTAACCCCAGGTAAGGATTAAGGATTGCCTTTGAACAGCCCAGCAAAGTATGTCACTTTGAAGATTTCCTCGCGGTTTCCGTGGCCCTCACCCCCGATGGCCCCAAAAGGTAAAAAAAGAACACCGAGCCCGCCCAGGCGTGATTTCAAAAAACAAAACTGGGATTTTCCAGGCGTGGTTTCAATTCAAAATACACTGGGACCCCCCCATGCGTGACTAAATAAAATAAACAAAGACGGGACCGAGGTGTTTTTTCTTTGCAACCACCAGTCGCTCACACACTTACTTGCTCGCTTCGTCTGTGAGAAGAAAACAAAAATGAGAATCCAAAGTGAGGAATTTCAAAATAAACATGGCTGGTGTAAATTCAAACAAAAAACACTGGTTCCTTTCGAAGCTCCTTCAAACCAACCGCAAAAGGGTACGCTAAAGAAAAGACACACACTAGGACCCTTACTTAATTCAACCACTTACCACAGGCTTGCCGTACCGCTGAACACCACTTCAGGCCTGCCCGGCATCATCGGCTCTGCACGCCGGCACCTGCTTGGTGGGGAATTTGTGGCAGGGCTTTCTCACCAAATTGCGGGGATCTACCCGGGGCTTTCTCACCAATCAGCTAACTGGATACACACAGACACACGCACATACATGACTATATAGATATATAAACATATACATATATAAATACATAAATACATACATAAATACATACATAAATACATAAATATATTCACACATGCACAAAGGTGAGGCTTGGAGTTTGCTCCAGATTGGGCTGGTCCTCGGGTCAGGCTCATGGGACATCGCCCAAAGACATCATACAAAACTCCCCAGGAGACGGTCACAACAAAGTGCTTTGACCTGAAAATGCCCCCAGATTGTGTCTACGAATTTCTGTGGTTCTGAGCTTTTTTTTTGTTCTCGTCATTGTGCTTTCGTTTCTCTCATCTGAAAGGCTTTTTCACACACACCTTTTTGCTCGTCAGCTTCGAGTCTTGCAACAACCTTGAGAAAACATAGAAGCCCGTTTTCATTTGACCTTCCGTTGGAAGGCAACCCCAAAAAGGGCGTGTCCAACTCCTAAAAATAAACCTAACCCAGGTTTTGGTGATAATGCTGAAAAAATGAGAGAGGGGCAAACTGCAAACCACACTGCTCACTGGCACAAGACGCTCTCCCAAACAAAGCGCAAAGAAATACAAGGGCGGTCGCAATTCTCTTCGATTGGACCTGTTCCAATGATCAAGCACGCAACAACCAAACAGTGAGTGGTTTTGAAGGCATGTAGCGGTTTTCGGCCATCTGTCCCGCTATCAGGGGCCAGGACTCAAGGGCCACGGGAATGAGAAAAACTGTTGCCCGGGTATTGATGGCGGCCCTATGCCCCAAGACAAAGCAAAAGGCGGCAGTGCCTAAGTGCCTACACATCGCCGGTTTTGGCAAGGAACAGGATTCCCTGGCCAGTTTTGACAAGGCAAAGGAGTCTGGCAACCCCATTGAATCCTCACCCCCACGAGTAAACATTGTGCCATCAAATTGCGGGGTGCTGCGCGGAACGTGGACCCCGGATTGCATGAGGTGAAGGATTCCCTCGCGACCGCTAGTCTTGCTTGCTGCGAGAGCTGCAGGGTCCCCTGAGAAATGGAATGACTCCCTGGAAAAAAACCATCCCCGATTTGGTTTCCTTTAAGGGAATCCGCTTCTAGCTGGTTCATTCCTATCAACCGGAAGGGTCGTTCAACCCACCTATCGTACCAGCAAGTATTGATCAACTGGGGGATCGCGCCACCAAGTCTTGATCAACTAGGGTAATCAATCCTGGGTTGCATTGCTAAACCCCCAAAAGGAAATCGGACCGCTGCTTGGCGCTTGTCAACATGAACGCCCAGCCTGCATGCTAGCCTCCCGCTCCACTTTGCTGTCACCCCTTGGCTGCACAAACCAAGGAGAAATCCGATGATTTTGAAGGGCCAACACTGATAGTCATAACCTGGAATTCAAGGAGTCGACTCAAAACCATGTGGTGGGTGTGTCCTTTTTAGGGACCCTCCTAAAATGGTGTTTTTCCTTTCAGTTTTACTTTAAACCCGCAAGCAGAAGGGGTGCCCTGAAAAAAAGACGGCGGCCTCCACCATGGTTGGGACTGGTCCTTCTTCACTCGCGCGGGCGGCTGAGGTAAGCAGAATCGACGCATAGGGCCGAACACGGTCTACGGTGGATGTCTCAGCTTCCCAGGCCTCCGGAAAACGTACATCTTCCAAGTCGAAGCTGTACATGTTAGCTAAGGGCCGTCAACCCGTACCCCATGGTGGACCCCAAGTAAGGCCTTATCCGCTTATCCGTTGAAATGGAGGAGCCCGGACAGGCTAAATGTCGAAACAGAACACGACAAACAACACGGAAACAAGCACGGAAAGAATCAAGCCATGTCTGAATCTGAAATGCTGGACAAATCAAGCACAAAAAAACAACAACACAACAACACAGAAACAGTCTTTTCGCACAGGCATTCGGCGGCCGAGTGGCTTGCCCCTCACGGATCTTGCACAGTCCACCACCAGGACCTACAGTTGAAATTCACGAGACAAGACGGGGACAAGACTTTTCCACCATGCCTTTTCGTTGGGCACAAAAAAGAACGAGGTTGGTCAAAAAACAAAAACCATAGACATAAGGGCCCCCCCTGTCAAAGCAGATGAACATCTACCCAAGGAACAGGTCCATGAGGGTAATATGTGTGCCTACACATGACCAATGCAAGCAAGTAGCAAACAACCTCGTGTGTAGGACTGTGCCTGAAGACGCCACCCGGCGAAAACTACTGAAGAAATACTGAACAATTGCCAGAATGTCCGAAACATGTTGCAAAGCTAGGTTCTATACTTATCTTGCCATTGGACACGGAACCCCAAGCATTGCTCACACGGCCTTAACTCTGCTTCTGGCATGGGCACAACATGGACACACAGTTGCTGCCAGTTTGCAACAACGCTGTGTGGCTGTCGTGCAGTGTAGCTGTTGCACAATGCCTGGAGGTCCAACTCAAACTCTGCAGAAAGAAAAATGTCTCACTTGCTGAGTGGATGGCCCAACAAAAAGTTCGAACCTTATATTTACCACTAACATGGTCTTCCCAAAAAGTTTAAAGTTCATGAACTCAGAAAGTGAGATATCACTGTCAGCTGCTTGCTTCCTGAATCTCCCAAACAAGTTGCTGCTCTGATCCGCTTTCGAAATTGCATTTAATCCAGGGGTGCTTGTACATACCGATACCCCTTGTACATACCCCTTGGGAAAATGAACCCAAAAGACCTGCCGATGTTCGTACCCCTCCCCAAAAGGGGCACGTAAATACCCCTAAGAAAGTGAGTTGGAAACCAGGGAAGCGAAGGGCTTATGAACAAGGGATATGTTACTTCCACCCGTATATTCAAGTGTTCTCTTGCTCGCGAGCGAGCGTCCTTTTGTTTAATTCTTGTTTTGCCAGTTTTGCATGCCGTCCCTATTGCAGCCGAATGCTGATCTTCTCCATTGCTTCCTTGCCGGCGCACGGGTATCATATTGACTTGTAAAAACCCTTATCATCCCGATTCGCTCCGTGTTTTCACATAGACGCTGTGAAGTCAGGTCCTTTGCTTTACACATTTGCCTTGGCTAAGGTTTCTTGAGCTGTTTCATCAATGGGAAGACACTCGCCAAAATGATTAAAGGGCCTTGCGCTCTTCTGAAAACAACATAAGCCTTCTGGACAAAACATGAAACTAGGCGTGTAGATCGCCGCCCTGACCCATGGATCAACATCCCCCCGTCTCATACCTGATACCATGCCTTGCATAATCACACGCACATGTCACTGATTGAACCTGAAGCTGGTACAAGTTATTTTTCAGTGCCGAACACCTGGAGAAAAAGAAGAAGAACAAAAACGGGAAAACAAGGAGAACAAAAAAACGGGTTTGCTTTACTGGGCTATCCACCTGGACTAGGCTGCCAGTCACTTCCGCGGCGCATCGCGGCGCAAGCCTTTCGCACGTCCTTCGTTTTGGCTTTCGCGATGCACACCTCTTAACTAGAACCGTCATGAAGACTTTGGCGCAATGGGAAAGGTATGGGTTTGTCCCCAAAATGTGCCTCCCCTCACCCCCGAAAGACAAACAAGCTCGAGAATGTAGAAAACAAGATCCACTTGCTAGCGGTTCCACACATGCAGGCTCACCCCTATATGGCGTCCTTTGTGTTGCAAGACTTCAGTTCTGCGTCGCCTAGGCACCATTCTGGGTCAATTCTGGGCAACAGTACTTCCGCACCGAACTTTATCTGAAAAAAACAATGGACATCACATTGTGGTGTCGCGCATGGCAGGGTGAACATGGCTTCTGAGGCCAAAATGAGTTGACCCAGGCGAGTTCGTATCAAACCACTTTGTACGGGACCGTCTTCAAAAGGCGCCATTGAGTGACGCGGCCTTGACTGGAGCTGGTAAAAGCTAGTCATAGACCCCTTCCGAGTCACTTTGGCGCCCTTCCAAGGGTCCAGTTCTGAAGAAGAAAAAAAAGAGCCATCGCATTCGCCTGACGGGTTGCCAACGCGTGTTGCGGGCCGTGTGGGGCGCTTTGATGTACTCATGACTCTCTGGACATGGCTACGTCCATGTAAACTGAATAGCCCAGATTAGGGCCCGGTTTCAACATGCTTGGCATCCGCCCTGGCAACCGGTGCAACACTTGTTGGACAGAAATCCGTGCCAAACCGGTGCAGGGCTCTCTGAACTTTGAACCGAAGCGCTTCTCGCAGGGAGCCCTCAAAATCAAGATTCCATCTGCCACCAATTTACATGGAACCTGACAGGGGGGTCCTGGTTTGGACCATTGTCCTTTTCAAGGGAGCCCCAGTCAGGTTCCATGCTAAGTGGTGGGAGGGAATTTGCTTCCAAAACCACCCCCAAAGTTGAACACCGCTGTAGACCCGTGGGTTCGATCTGTTCTTCGGGCTTTGGGCCGCCGGACAACAAGGATATTACAACATGACCAAAAGCTGACCACTAAGAAAGGACCAACCGGAAGAACTTTGGTGAAATCCACGTTTATTTTTTTTTTGTTTTTTTGTTTTAGATTTTGTTTGTAACAAAAAGCCTCCCCGCGCCCGTGTTTGTTTTTTAGATAAAGGCCCAGAGTCCCGAGGATCATCGACTCTATCTCTAGGCCTCCTGCTGTGACACCCAGAATCCCTAGAAGCACGAAGAGGCCCCACAGGCCGCACACCATGGCCTAGACGGGGGCGGCCGGGAGGGGGAGTGGGCGGGGGGGGGGGGGAGGGCAGCGGTCTCCCCTCAAAAACCCGTTCACGCACATGGGCATGGGTGCAACTTTTAAGCATCATCCGCAAGTCTGGACATGACAAGGACAGCCAAATGGGAACCCGAAGGTCAGGTTGTAAAGCCATCCTTGGTGGTTTCCGTGAAACGGATCCCAAACGGTTCAGTCCCAAACACTCGAGAACCAGCCAGATGAGGTCAATAAGTAAGCTTTCAGAGGCCGCCTCCTAGTGGCAAAGCTGTTTTTTGTTTTTCCTCGGAAGGCAGGACACCAACCGCTCGAGGCTCCGAATCATCCAACTGAAGACTGGGGCAGCAAAAAACGAGGACTTGTTCACTTGCCCAACGGACCAGGAAATGGTGAATTGGATCTTGACTGAACAAGCCATGGGTCAAAATCCAAATTGTACCCCCTGCCAATCCAACCACTAAAACAGACTAAAATGGGTGGTGCACCTACCCCCAAAAGGTACCATTGGTTTTGACCCACAGCCAACATAGACCAGAAATAAACGAATATCTCGTTCAAACGGTCGACTTCGGAGCAGTAAGGTCCCACTGCCTGGTAAGTCGCGAAACCCATTTGTCAGATCGGTTTGACAGGTTGCAAAGTTGGCGAGAAAAATATCCGGGAACTGCTTGGGGACTTTCCTGGCGATCGCGAAACAGCACTCCATGCACATTCCGATTCCCCTACATTCGCCCAAGAAGTTTCCTCACTTTGAATGGTTGCCCGCAATCGTCATGCTGAAATTCACCTGGGGAAATATTTCGGGAGCCCTGCAAAAGCCGCGACATGTGGAAGTGATCTGCTAACGCGCCCACCAGCTCTGACCAGAAAGAGAAAGGCGTGATCTCGACTCATTCCGGCCGGAGACAAGACGAGCTTCCTGGGACCCGTGTCTAGGTTTGCAGGTGACTTTTCTTAGTGGCTGTAAGGGTGTCGAATGGTGTTGATAACTGATGTGTGTGTGTGTTTTCTTCTCCGGGAACTCTGGTTTAAAAAGAAACCAAAAACATCATTTTGTGGGTCCCTGATGGTTGCCATTTTTGCAAGCCAAACATGCCTTCAAAGAAGACAAATCCGAATTGAAACGGCACTCACTACCACGAAGACAGCCCATGGACCAAGCACCACGAATTGAACCCCAAAACCCAAAACCAGCGACCTGGGGCCTATGCGTGAAGAGGGGGGAGAAGCCATGTGGGTGTGGCTCAAAATTCAACAGGAGGGGTTACGCAGGTTTTGGTCCATGTGTCCACTTACCAGGGTTCCATTTTGGTACCGGTTTTTTGAGCCACAGCCAATGTTTATCCACATTCAACGGCTTCACCTCTTGACACTGCATTCAGCTCAGCGGCCAATCTGGGCGAAAGCGGCAACGCTGCCAGGTCAATCTCCTGACACCCCCCCCCGCCCCCGCATCCAACTGTACGACCAAAGCCAGCAGGAAGCCAGTTGTCAACTCGGGGGAAGCTGTCTGTGCCGTGCAGCTCAACAAGTCTTGTCGCAGCTCATGCTTCCAAAATCTAGCACATGTTCCCAATTCTTGACTTACATCCTGAAAGGCTGCTGTCTGTCGACCCTGCTCAGATCGAGAGGCGGGAAGAATCAGGCCAGGTGAATGCCGGAAAGGGCTTTAGAACAAAAGCAACTCGGGTCCTTTTCCTGCTTCGCCTCATGCTCAGCGGTGTTTTGAGGCAAGCCAGCCATTTCGCGGGCGCGAAGGACTTCTGTTCTCGGCGCGGATGTGTTTTCTTTGCAAACCTTTGGCCAAAGCGGTATCATTCCTGTCGACAGGGGAATGCACCGGGGTTCCCTGCAACACATTTAGTTGAATCAAGCCGTGGTTTTATCCCAACCTAAGCTAGTGCTGAGGAGCTATGACATGATGACATGAATAAGGCTGAACATCAAATCGCAAACTCATCAACGAGTATAATGTTGAAACAAATCTGTCACGTTGCAAAAAGCGGGGCATTCACATTTGGAAGGCGGCTGAAACCTCAGCTCCACGGATTCCAGCTTGATGGACCCCACATTTACTTCAGCTGTGCATCATGGATTGACGTCCTCCTCATAGTTGCAAACGCTTATCATACGCACCCGCTGAAGAATAGCAGCATCATGCAAAACGACCACACTTAGGCTCGAGGCTGCCGCAGACTGAAACAAACTGGCTACAACATACCCCGCCACCCGCAACAATAGACAAGGGTTGGTTGGTTTTCTTAGGGAACCCAAACATGATTGGTTTCCTTTGGCTTCCCTTTCGAAGCACATAAAAGGAGTACCACATGAGAGCTTGTAGTTTCACTCAAATCCAAGCACCATCGAATGCCAACATCTGCCTTTTTGTCAATCTTTTCGGGAAGACACGGGTTTCTACGAGAAGCTCACCTGAAATGCGGCCAAAGGTGATGTTCAATACTACAAAGAGTTAACATCAAATACCCTCAAAGCTGCGCAACATGACATAGTGTTTCGTGTCTTGCTCTCCAGAAACCCTCCTTAAGGGCGCCCCCCTTCCTAGTGGTCCTTTGGAAAGTAGCGTAGAACTTGTTCATCAGTTCTCACCAAACTCAATTTACCATGGCCATCTATGTTCAACTAAAGTGACCATCAGCCACATGACGGATCTATGGACTTGTCACCAGTTGGGTGGTGGGGGGCATGTTTCCACCAGTTGGGTGGCCGAAGCCATGCGCCTCCGGCTCTGCATACGACATGAAGCGCGCTACCTCGGCTTGAAACCCGACTGTGTGCGGAGCTAAGCAAGGTTCCCAAGAATCATGGGGGCTGGGGGGGAGGGAGCGGGAGGGGGGGGGGGGGAGCCCAACCCTAAATAAGGCCTTAGTAGGGGCTTAATAAGGGCTTATTTGGGAAATGGTCTACCCAGAACCATGTAGAGAATTCAAAAGGCGGCCGCGGCTTACTACACTGCAATTATCCGGGGTTTGATTGTGACTCAATTTGAGTCGTAACTGTAGTAGCGAAAGGTTCGTGTTTATTTCGCCCCTCAGATTGCTCAGAAGTCGAAATAATGTAGGGAGTTCTATACAGGCGGTCCGAATCGGGTTCGGCGTTGGCTCGCTTGCGTGCCATACTTTGCTGTGCATTGTTTGGGTTGTTCAGCTACAACAATTCCAACAGTCACCCAACTGTTTGTGGATACCCCTTGATTCAGGACCAACTGAGGCAGAATAAAAGCCTGCCCGGAGATTCATTCTCCATGAATTTCCTGGTAGTTCTCGGCTTTGACTTGCTTTTCGCAAATCTCGATGTTTTTTTCGTGAAGTCGCCTAAAGCTACTAAATTGTTAAAGCTCTATTTTGGTGAGATTTCAGAATTGGTACGGTTTCACGTTTTCCCCGCCCAGAATTACCCGCAAAACGCCCGCAAAAAGCCCGCAAAACCCCGCGAACGCCCGCAAATCAGAAAAAGACGCTTTTTGGGCTCGGGGGGCGCGCAAAACTCCTAGAAACCACTTAGAACGCCCAACACGCCCAAAACTACCAGGAAACTAAAACGCCTAGGAAAAGGCCGGAGAATGAATCTCCAGGTGGTATCAAAAGGGTCCACCCAACACCAAGTCAAAGGGGCCAAAACATTCCGTGCCTATGCCTTGTCCGAGATGACTTTCCCCACCTTCAACTGCCCGGGTTCTTCTTCTGGCTCAAATAGGCCGTTGGGTTGCATCTTGGGAAGCCCATACAACTACCAGACACATTGCCATCCCATGACCTGCTGACTTTGCCATTTGACTGTTTACGCAATGTTGGCCAATAAATTACTCCATGTGCGGACGAAAAAGGAAGGGGCAAAGCTGCAGCCGAAGATGTCAAACCAAAAGCTCTTCGAAGGCCGCTGCAATATGTCTGGAGCAAATTTTCATAAGCTCTCCCTTCCCTTGATGTTTCGTTTGTGGATTGCAGATATTAGCCCAAATCGTTTTTGCGCGTGCTGTTTTTAGGGAACGCCGCAAAAAATATGTTGTTGTTTTTCTTTTAAGCGTCCCTTTCAATCAACCCAACACGGGTACCCTCAAAAACAAGACACTCCGTTGTGAAATCACATACCCCACCTCAGGCTAACATGGAAGCTGCCAAAACACATCGAATAGATCTTCTTTCTGACCTCTCTGATGGTTGGTTGGCTCCAGTCTCCCGAATGCAACATCTAGTAGCAATGCTTTTTGATAACCTCCCCCAACATCTAATAACAACTAATAATTAATATCTAAATGGTATCCTATTCATGTTCCTGATGTTGCATTCGATTGTTAACATCTGATAATTAATCCCACCCGCCACATCAAACAACTTCGTCCCGCCAAGTCGTGCTCGATTTAGGGCCTGGCCTTCTGCTCGATGGCCGTGGAGATGCAGCCAAAGAAGCCAGCGTGTGCCTGGACAAAAACTCGAGGAATCGCCGCGACCTATATGAGATCATGCCTATCTTGAAACGCAACATTCATACATCCTTGTTACCATGTATCTTGTCATCGTAAATCTAGGCTCAGAATTAAAATATTCCAGATTCCATCCCAAACTTCTCCAGGGAATCTGGAATCAGCTTCAAGGGTTCAATCCAATTCGCACAGCTCAAGTGGCTATTCCTAGCGAACCCACCCATGTGGTCGGGATCGAGTCCTCTTCTTGGCATGCCATTGAAGGAGTACCCTCGTGACAACCAACGCGCACAGGTCATCAAAAGAATGCCTTGATGTTGGAAGGGGAGCATATTTTTATTTTATTTATTTTTAATGCAGTTGAGTGGTTGGATTTCCCACTAAACCACAATAAGCAAACAATGTAAAATGCTTCCCAACAACAACCATGATACCATCAGAAAGAGCCCCCCTGTCCACTTTCGTGATTGTTGGAAAGAGGGTAGCCATTGGTCAAACAGTTGCGCACATTGCACCAAAACGAAGCGACCTGGTTGTACCATAAAAGCGTGAATTCAATCCAACAAAATAATGTGATGCGGTTGTCAAAAACGTAGCCAAAATCAAACAGAGAGCCATCTGCAGCCTGGCCAAGAAAACTCAAGGTGTATAGTCCGACATGATGGCAGAATTGCGACTATCGTTCTTAGCATTGGGGGAAAGGCTCTCAGTAAGGCAGTCCAACAGTTCGTGCCTGGCTACGTGTCAAGAAAGGAGCGCATGCGTGCAAATCGCACGCGGCCATAGCCACAGGGATTCACCATGTAATTAGTTTGTTCAACCAGTTTCGATCTGGTTGACGTCCGATTCGCTTCCCATACTTTTTTCAAATTGTGTCAAATGCTACATGTTTCAGACACACACGCACAAGTTTTGGCCCAAAACCGATATAATGAGGTGGTACCTTCTAGACCCCGCCCCAAAAGAACCAAAAACGTCCCGGTCTGCCCACACACAAAACCAACAAACAAACAAATCACGGTTCTAAATTACTTTGTTGCCTGTGCTTCTGCCAATAGTACTTCCCTATTTAGCTCCACACTTTGCCATTTAAGCTGTAAGCAAACACAAGCTAGCCAGAAACAGCACATGGATGGATGGATGGATGGATGGATGGATGGATGGATGGATGGATGGATGGATGGATGGATGGATGGATGGATGGATGGATGGATGGATGGATGGATGGATGGATGGATGGATGGATGGATAGCGCAAGGCGCACAAACAAGACAGCTGTTGGCCGTTGAACACTGGTGCCAGTGCCTCCAAAACCCTCCTAGACCAATGCTTCCGAAAGCCAGGGCCCAGCAGGCTGCATCCACAGTTTAAATTAAGACAAATCTATTTGGACATGCTCGCAAAAATATTTGTCCTAGGTCCTCCAGATTTGAGAGGTTAGAATAAGGCTACCAACTTTTCTTCTGTGGTCTATTTTACTAGGGGAACCCTCCCCTACTAAAGGGCAAAAGGGCACTACTGGCAGACCTAGTTCCGAAAGGAGAAGCCTTTGTGTCCCTAGCCTTTGACGTCATCCCAGGGCACTCAGATCATCGTTTTGCTGCACAAGGGGCAAACCGCGCGGAACGCATCCGGCGGTGGTCTCTGGTTTCTCAGCCGCTTGGCGGTCATGGCCGCCCAGAATCGCCACAGTGGCCAAAATGGACCGCAAGGAAGCAGCGCCTACACCAGCAAAAAACTAAACTATATCGCGAACCATGCCTGGATGCCGAATTGCGCGTCCGGAATGGGAAAAGACAACTTAGCCGGTTGACTTGTTTCCTATTGGGTAAAGATCAAAGAACTGCTTGCGGGAAAGGATCTCTCTTGTGTCTGGCCAGCTAGGCTTCCTTGAAATCCGTACTCCATGCGCTGGAGTCACCCATCTGTACAAGGCGCGCCTTGGAGAAAATTGCAAAGGCCACTTTGTGCGGATGCGATCGACTGATCTCCCTCTCAAGGGTCCAATGGATCTAGGCATAGGTGGCCTTTTACAGGAAAATAGATGGGTTTCTCTAGTAAATGGGTAATAAACCCCATCCAAACCAGGAATCAGCAAACCAACCAAAAAGGACACCGATGATCTAGCGGATTCGGTTCACGATTTCTGGAGATGATTAACCGGGCGGATGAAGACATGGGTGTAAATTTTACTCAAGTACCCGGTTGTGGACATCATTTAGATGGGGATTCACGCATGCTTTTGAGTGGTTCCAACTCGTAAATCCCATAACCATATCAATTACCAGTTCAAGATCGACCTCTCTTCCAGACTTCGGTGGAGCAGGCTAGGATCAGCATCCGCACGGGTTTTCTTTTTGTCGGCTCAGGGCTCCTGTGCTCCTTCCTTCTGGGTGAGGTAGAAAACAGCAGCGGTCACTAAGTCAAACTGCATCTGCTGCTTCTTGGCCGTGATGTACTTCTGAACCTCAAAAATCGCAATGTTCGTGTGTGTGTTTTTTCTTTGTTTTATCGAAAGAAATCCGCACCCATGTCAAACTGAGAATCTATCCTCTCCGATTTGCTCAGCGCTGAACCACGGTTCTTTGTGCATAGTCTCGCACCCAGCGGTTCAGGCTGTTCTCTCTCTCAGATAGACCCAGTGAGCCCACAGGCCATCAAAAATTCCAGCAAATCTACAACTGTCTCTTTTAAAACATCGAGGAAGAGGAGGACGCTGCAAAATGTGTTTTTTCTAGAGGATTCCCGAAACGGTGGTTCTGCTTTTAGGGCTCCTGTAAACCAACCCCAAAAAGGGTACCCTCAAAGAAGACACACCCACGCATGATTCTTCCATAGAAAGAGGGTAGCCTCCAGTCCCAAATTATTGGACCCCGGTGCCCTTTGTTCCCTTGTAAAGGGGTGTTCACAAGACAGCCCCCAACAACAAGGCGCGCCCAGGTTCTACTTTTTGTCTACCCCAAGATAGACTTAAACCCAAGGTGCTCCTTTGGAGGAACTTAACCACCCCTAGGTTTCAGTCTACCCTGGGGTGCTCAAAAAGTAGAACCCTGGCCCATTTTGACTATGACTTTCTGCCGAGCCGCAGCGTCATCCATACCTGCGTGAGGACACACGTCTAAGGCACGTGAGATTATTCATGGCGCCTGCTGGGTCTGTCCTAAGGGACCCCAAGACAAAGATTTGCTTCCCCGTTCCCCAGGCCTCGAGTCGAAGCGTGGTGTATCAAGAGTCCAATAGGTCGCTAAACAAAAAACAACCGGGGGAAGAACTTTCGTGAAATGAACAAAAACCGCATCCAAACCGTTTTCTAGAAATCCTCGCTTTTTGCCGTGTGTCGACAAAATATGGGATGCAGACCAATCAAGCAGAGCTCTGGCAACTAGAAAGATGTTCCGAGGTGAACCCGTGCATAGCACATGAATACAGTCCAATGTCTGAGAAAAGTCACCATGGGGATTCCCAATGTCATAGAATCCCCAATGTCATGAATGACACGGAAACAACCAACTGTGGGGATCCTTGGTTCCAATACGTCCAGTGGCCATGGGAAAAACTGGGGGAGTAGTTGATTTGGGGGCTGAAAGAAACGGAGCCGACGTCAAACTTGCCTTGGTCAGCCAACTAAAATCCAACAGGTCTGGCTCAGCAAAGAAAATAAAAATCAACGGAACCCTGGTAAGCGGAATAGTCTAAAACCCAAATCCGGCTCAAAGATTTTGTTTGAGCTACAACCATTAAAAACGAACCCTCCCCCAAAAGGTGGAACATGATACCCGTTGGAGGTCTTTTGGTTTCACTCCCAGTTTCTCAGGTTTTGGGGCAGACTCTGCCACACTGTCCGGCAATGAGGGCATTCAGGCACCTTCATGACGGGTCTCGTTTTGGTGTGAAGACACTACCACTTGGTTTTGCCTCAAACTATGATGGTCCCCAAACACAAACGTGCTGTCTTTCCGGAAAGAAAGCTTGAAATGCTGATTCTGCTCCCTTTCATCAGACCGAATGACTATTCGGAGTGTTGATGTTGTCTTAACCAAAAAACCCAAAGACTACCTTTGTGTCTTCTATCTCCGCCCGCCCTTTTCCAATCCATGGCAACGCGGATGGGAGGGTAACCCAGTTCAATGTTTGGGCCAATTTCCCCCATGGACGAGGTCAATCCGGGCCACAACAACATCAGCCGACGAGGCCAATCCGTGCTGGGTCTGCAAACAGGGCATTCAACCAAAACCAGCCCCGTAGGTGCAAATTCGCATAGGTCACTCTAAGGACACCTGGCCAATCACCTCCCGCTGCTGAGCTGTCCCCTCTTCCCGAACCCGGGGGCGCCATCCGCGGAGGGCAGCGTCGTTGGTGTGCCAAGCGCCCAGCCCTCCCTGGCGAAGGCCAAGACGTTCTCCGGCAACGACTCCTCCACCGCCAGCTGACGACGCAAATCCTCTGGCAGAACGCCTGCGGACTGGTGGGGTCGCCCCTGTGCCGGCTTCATATCTTTACGTACGTATTGATTCTTGATTCATATCGATATTTAATACTCCTTTCTGTAATGACTTCTTTGTGTGTCTACATTTGTATTTACTTATTGCCCTATCTCTGTTTGTCACGTCTATCTTGAGTTCAAACACTTTCTACTTCTTTCTTGAGTCATATCTGTATTTCCTTATTGTGTCCTGTCTGTCTTTGTTTCCTTATGTTTGTCATACCTAGCCTATATTGAGGTCGTATTTCTGTCTTTATACATGTTGATTTCTTTCTGATATAGTGTCTTTTCTTATGTCCGTTGCTTTCTTTCATTCCTCTGCTTCTTCCTTTCCTTCCTTTCCTTCATTCCTTCCTTCCTTCCTTCCTCCCTCCCTCCCTCCCTTCCTGCCTTCCTTCCTTCTTTCCTTCTTATCTTTCTTTTTGTTGGGTCTCGCTCTCTCTATCTCTGTCTCTATCCACCTCTCTCTCCCTATCTCTCTCGCCCTCTCTCTCTCTCTCTCTCTCTTTCTCTC